CTTTGCCCTCCCCCCTCTAACTACACTTTCTAACTGCTTGGTAAAGGGTAAGGAAGCTCGGCGTAATCGGGTAACCCGACTGGTGTGAAGGATGTTGCATGAGCAGTAAAAAAAACATTCATTAGAAACTGAGAACTATCAGTTTCTCTGGGTTGCTCTTGCTTACTCTGTTGTTGTGAAAACGTTCCGGTTCAAAATGAGGTCACTGAAAGACGTCATCATTGAAATGTTTTTCTGACAATGTGCTAGAGATTGTCTGTGAGAGAAAATGAATTTGATGCTTTTGATACCAGAGAAGAAATGCCCTCCCGTATTAGCTGTTGCGATAACTCAGACGAGTACGGTTTCTTCAAAATAGCTGGTTTGCGCCAACATAAGCACTGAAAACGCCACTACGATTCTGAATGGAAGTCGAGTGCAGGGAAGGGGACGTATCTCAGAAATGGGGTTGACTATTAGCAGAGTCTTTAACTTTCATGCTTTATGAAGAAATATCTCGCTTATATGAAGACCTGAAGTGCAGAGCGAACGAACTAGAAGCGAGACGTTTTCTGCACCCAATTTAAAAAAAATCAGGTGTTACAGTACCTTCTACAACTAGTACTGCCCTTTAGGTGCTATGTTGAGGTAGCAAGCGCTATGTGAAAAGAATGTTTCCAAAAATTATTTGTCTAAACAAGCGCGATCGACCCTTTCTGAATGTCGAAAGAAAATGGAAATTACAGCTGCAGAAACACGTTTTGCGACTCTCGGCTCGCCAAAACGATGCATGAAAAACAAAAGAACTTCCCCTAGCGAAGAGTTGTACTTTTTTCAGTTGTTCGATGCCCTATATAAGCGTTCACAGTCGCAGACTCCTTCATCAGTTGTAAATCTCACTCTTGTTCTCCCCTTTTCAAGAAAAAAAAATATCGCTTTGACAAGCATTTGTCGCCTTCCATACCGTTTCAATGGAATACTAAGGAATTGCGAAGAACTTCCGCTGTTAGTCTCGTTTCCAATCGACACTTCAATCCTTCACAAAACCCACAACTCCGTCCTCACTGTGTTGACTCGTCTTCACATAAGAGTAACTTGAGGAGAGGCCTTGAGGGCAAGAGGGAAGGGTCTTCCTCCGCTCTTCATATTCCTGATTTTGTCCCGATTTTTTTAGGTCCCGACTTTGGAAGCTGATATTGTATTGAAATTCCCCATTTTTTTAGAAATGATTTCAAGGATTGTCGTCGTCGCTCTTTTGATGGCATTGGTTGCCACCGTTTTGGCATCACCATACAGGTATGAATTGCTGTTAGTAATGTTAACTGTTAACTTATGTAAGAGCGTGCTACTATGTGTAGACTAAGGAATGCCTCCGTATTGGAGGTGAGCCTATTGCTACCTGATTCGCCTCGGCATTGTCAAAGAAACATACACAGAAAGGCATCTGCATTCGAGAGTCTGGGTCTTTTTCGATTCTTGGCTTGATGTAACAAACGAGAAACAACTCCCTCTCAATCTGCGCTATTCTCTTAATTGCAAAGAATGCGAGACTTTTTTACGTTGGGAGGTGGAATAGCCAGGGTGACCTTTGGTAGAAAGAAGTGTGGCAAATCGGCACAGTGATCCCATTCCGACATGTTCATGTTCCCTACTTGCGGTCATGCATCCTGAAAAATGTCAGAATCCTTTATAACTTTGTAACTCAACAATTGGAGCTGTTAGTAAAAAAGCAATGAAATTATAAAAAGAGAATTTCAAAAATGAAAGTTTTTATTGCAGCATTAGTAGTTGCCCAGTAATGGGATTATTTTTGCCTCGCCTGCGAAGTTGTGCGAGAGAAATCTATTCGGTAAATCTACGACCAGCTACTCTTGTACTTCACTTTGAATCTTGAAGGTGGAAAAACCTATTTCTTTCTGCATAACTTACTCAACGAATGATAAATTAGTTTCTGAACGCTCTTGATTACGCTGGGTGTGTAGTACAAAAAGAGTGTCCAATCCTGCGAATAGTCCCAATGTAGTTTGTTGATAGCCCTATTATTCCTAGTTTCTGCACTTGTGCCACCTTCCTGGGTCCATTCTCGTTCAAACGATTGCAAGGATTAGGACGATATACTGATTGAAGGATAGATAAAGTAGTTAATAGGGTGCCCAGAAAAAAATGGTAACCTTAACGAGGAACTTTTATATAAATCTGACCAATCATTGACACTTAACTTTCAAAAACTCACACCCAAAAGCGGGGTTGCCTTGTCGGTGACTGACCTCTCAGAAACCGATCATCTTGATTGTATAACTTCAACGCAAGTCTTTTCAATGTATTAGTAGAATCAGCTATAATAAGTATCTCTACATTTGTAAGTTAAGGTTTGAGTTTGAGGCAACTTCAAACTACTGAGGTGTTTAAAAAGTCCTAGATTTGCCCCTCAGTTCTTAACGGATGGCCCGCGAATACTCGAAGGCAGAACCACGGATCGGGTAATGAGAAAAGTCAAATTATGAACGCGATTCTGTTGCCGTTTGATATTTTCTTTTGTTTTTGGAAGCATCATCGAACAGAATACGTGCGACTGACACGACTCCGAACAAGAATGACGGGGCACGATTAGCTGCCCCGTCATTCTTGTCCGGAATGAGTTATAGCCGTCGATGGACTTCAGCGCACCCTTCCTTGTAACTTGCCATAGGTGTTAGGATCGCTTCTTCAGAAGGGATGTTCGCCTCTATAAAGCTCTTCGCAGCATACGTTCACGTAATTCTGAGAGAATTTTGGTGCGCTCAAAACTATTTCTCTCAAAGTTCGAGTGGGATGGGAAAGACGACCTCTGCTCACCGTTCCGCCAAAAATACTTTCATGCAGCACAGCAGTTATCCCATGCCCCTACAGACCATAAGTGCTCAATGCGATTTGATGTATGCTGGAATATTCTCGACCGTAAGCAAACAACAACACGAATAGGTTTTGGTGTTGCAGAGGATGAAAAGTGGATCTCAGTTGAATGACCATACAAGAAAATACTACGACTACCTATGAGCTCGAAACCACAACCTGTTTCAAAGCGACGGGCTGACGCCAAAAAAATATGATCCATTGTCCGTTCTGTTCACCTTATCTATATAATTTAAATCAGAACCGGGGTACTGTTGTGACAGTAAGGGTGCGAACGAGTACAGGAAATTGGGACGATATCCCTTCAGCATTCCCCTATTGAACTATCAAATCAAGCATTTATTTCACTCACAATTTGTTCGTTTGTTTCAATGCTTCATTTCGTTTGATGACGAAGTCACATTCAAGTGAGAAGAGATTGGTAGAGAATGAACCCTCTGATGTTCCCCTCAATCTAGAGCCCTCCTTCTGGTGAATACAGATAAATAAATCAGAAATACATCAGAAGAAGCGAGTATAGCGAGTAATGGCACAAAGGTAACTTTTGTAGTACCACTATACACACCGATTTTGAAGGGCAATATTCCCCACAAAGCAAATGAGTATTTTATTGCTAGTTGACCAAACGTAGCGCCTTTGAGCACGGTCTCGTGCCAGATTGCCTGAATAAGCACTTAAAAGAAATCTTTTTAAAATCGTTGAACCTGCCCATTGATGATATTTCTTCTAGACTAATCACCGCGAGAAAATTCGACCTGAGACCTCCACTACAACTCACACCTTTTTGCCCCTCGTGATAACATGTTGTATTTGTAGCAAAGAAGCAGATAACCTCACTCATATAATACCAGCTTTGGTAGGAGAAAGGATGCTTGGGCGACATGCTGCGCTCCTCAAATACCGTGCTGGAGCGAAAGGGGAGATGATGGGTAGCTTGAGTACCTACGTAGCGTTGGTGCACTTAGCTATTCGGGGCAACTGGCAAAGTAATTATTCGCCCCTCCAGAGCGACTATTTGCTTTCAAAGCAAAAAGAGTCATAAATAGTTGTCCCGCTGCATTCCTGTCCCAGTCGGCTACCTTAAAAATCTCCGCCTGGGATCACTCCTTCCGAGACTACCTCCCGTTACCCGTTTGGATCTTTTGCACTTCAAATTTCGCCACTCATCATCTCCAGAAAAGTGAGGCATTTCGCCGCTCTGCGATGATAATTCTGCTTACTCTCCTCTCCAAGAATTGTTTTATTGTTTTCAGCTATGCCTAAATGACATCTATCTTTCAGAGACCTTGTTTATAGGCATCTACGAGTCAAACGCCAATTGTTCGGAGGTCGACCGTGGTGGGGCTACATGGGAAGTAACAACTTCGGATACAGCGACAGCAGTAGCTTTAGTTGGAGTGTCAATCAGTGGGGTTCTTCTAATCAATGGGGCAACAATTTTGGTGGAGGATTCCCGATGTTTGGATGAATGCAACGATGTGGATGTTGAGCAATTCACAACTAAACTGTGAGTAATGTCAATTTCTGTGATGAAGTGCTCTCTCTACAGCTTTTCTGATACGTATAATTGCCCTATAAAATTTCGATACACTTGAAGAACATCATTCAGATCGGACGCCAGCCACTCTTCTACGAAGATGTTGTTTGAACAATAGGACCTTTTTTATTCATGGATTCGTCTAGCGCCATTCAATTCCGTTTCAGTTTCGTCCCCTTTTCGCCGGTGTTAGAAAACCAATCTGCCTTGCGTTATTGACGTTGTGTTCGAAACCTCAATAAATATCTTTATTCGTCCTAGAAATTGAAATTCATTTGAACATGAATATATCAATTTTGCAATTGGAAGTGTTAGTTTACAAAAAAAATTGCAGTGTCGAAAAACTGCGCCAAATCAGGCTCTAAACCCAGCGGTGACGGCAAAAATGGTTTCTGAGATATGTCCCAGGATGTATTTGTGGATTACCCGTAGATCGTATAAGGCGCTGGCCAATCGGAAAACGTCTTGAAAGGGTGTTAAAATATCTCCAAATTGCATGGCTGTAAGTTACACCCGCAGGCGAACGAGTCTCGGCGGCGTTATAGGGGCTGCATCACTCGCAAGGAGCACCCATGTGGACTAGAAGTCCAAACAACTAGTCGTGACTCAACGCGATAGTAGAAGGCAGTTTTGGGCAATTGTGGCTAGATGTACTCAACTACACAGTTATAACAGTGAGAACTCGTCTGAAGATTCGTTTCTTTCACGAAGCCTTATTTCACGCACAGTTGGCGCAATTCCATTGGAAAACTGAATGAACTGGTTGTGAGAATCTCATGCTTCCTTCAGCAATTCGCTGGGCGGAGGTGGTGTAGTGGCAAGTAGCGCCCTTCACACACACATGGTCACGCGCTCAAACCCTGGATCGATATCCGCTCAGGCCAACCAAGCCTTCCACCCTCCCGTGATCGGTTAATTGGAACAAGACTCGTCTGGTAGGGAAAAGTACTGACTCGTACATCGGCTGGCCGTACCAAGTCATTGTATAGGCCACATACGCACTCATTACGCCACCCATTACCACTCTGAATGGGAGTCGAGTGCTGCTCGACCAACACCCAAAACTCCGAAAAGTTCTAGTCGACCAGTTGTCACCCTAAGGGAGGAATACATATTATTCGAGCACAAGCTTATGCATTTGTATAGGATATAAAAAAAATGTGCATTTTATTGCCGCAATAATCCTCAGTGGTAGTTGAATGTGTGGCAATCTCAAGAGAACTGATCTGTTTATACCAATCGCTCTTCATGCGTAAGATGAGCGCATTCAAATCCTTCATATCTTTGTTGTCGGGTTCAGAGGTCTCTGACACCTCAACATCTACGCACTGTACTAAAAAAATCTCAAGTCAACCGCAGATGGCTTCAAAAAACTATTTTCCACTGGTGATTAGCCTCAGACGAGAAGATTCCCAAACGGCAGTTGTCACAGACATTCATTAACACTACTCGAGAGTCCATGATTCGGGAGGTACTTCCAACTATGCAACTCTTCAAAATAACGAGAAAAAAATCAGACGGAAGAGTTCGAGGTAGAAACAAGCAGAGCTTTCTTGTTTTTCTTTCTCAAGGTGGTGAAAGACGCTGCTCCGCTCACAATCAAGGGACTCCGCCATTTTCTACTCGTTTTCTCCGACCTCTCCTTCACTTCGTCGAGAAGTGGTCATCGTTGATAGCAACTAATCCTCCGAGGATCGGGTCATATTTCCAGACTGGAATAGAGCGAGTAGACGTCTGACCGTCGCAAAGCTGACGAGATCCTTCTTGAATAGTTTTGATGTTGGAAGCAGGGGAACGAGCAGAGGAACCGTGCCATTTTTCGTGTAAATATATCGCTGAAAGTTGATCTTTCGACGATCGCGACATGCTAGCCCTCGCGAACCTATTGGAACATCGCTGGCGATAGCTCCTAGATTGTTCTAGAATATTGGGATGGTATAAGAGTGGCAAAGGTTCTGAAAAAAACAGTATCCCACACTTCCGTTTCAACATAACTGCATTGGAGGCACAGTTCAAGATAGGCAAAAGTATTGATTGAGAACAGTACATAAAGCAGTAGCGAACAAAGCGAGAAAATCTGCCATTTTTTGCCAAAAGGCTTCCTGAATGTAGTGAAATGAAGGTTGCACGAGATTACCATCATAGAAGTGGCATGAAGTAGTACTCGGACGAGACTCAGTTGTTGCATTTGCACAAGTAGCTGACTATATCGAGCCAACACTGTCATTGCCTCCCACTGTCGCCATGATCACAACTAGTTAGTTATTGGAAGTTCCAGCATGGGTGTTTCCTCTGAATGATGTAGCCTTTACAATGTCTAAGAATAGAATACATGGTACCGGATCACATCGAATCTATGCGTATGATTATATAATAGATTATGATTATACCAGTCGGATCGCCCAGCTAACGCCGGGCTCTCCTCCTTCCTATGCAATGCCCGGCTACGCCGGGCATCCCCCTTCTTACGTAATAGGGACAAAGATTGGTACAAATAATGCGGTATTTCCTTTCGATGAGAATAAAATGAAACTATTTCATTCTAATAATGACTAACACATTTTATGACTGAGAACCTTTGTGACTGGAGTACATACTTTGCAAGAAGTTTGACCCACTCGAATGTGTCGGACTTAGTGAGACGGTCGAAATTGTTTCACATCCGCGGAGGGATAAATTTCCTTACCTTACCTTGCCAACGGAAATAGCAGAAGTATAATGGCATCAGGTCCATAATAATCATGCGACTCTATTTCTTTGAAGCTTCACATGAAAAGTAATAATACAGGGTGAACCGTGCTACCAGTCGGTACAGTGAAAAACGCGTTCTCCCGGAAGAATCTCCTAGGTAATTTCGAAAACACATACGATTCCGGAATTTGGTTCGCATTCGGGTTAAATTTACCGAAGCAGCCCCTTCAGAGTTTAAATTCTGCGAAGAGCGTCAGTTCCTCACCTCACCACACCACATAGATTAGCTAGAGCTAGGGATGCCTTCAACTCTGTAACAATCTGATTTCCTCTAGCGAGGTGTGCGTTGATGGTTGTTAGGGAGACTCACGTCAAGCATATCTATTGGAAATTTCAGATCAAGTCAAGAAGCGATAACCTTTCAACCACTCTACCCGAATACTCCATCTGGAAGCACCTCCAGTCAACGCAATCAGTTCTGTAAGAATCGATCTCCGAGGGGGAATGATCGAGGGGTATTCAAGAATGTATGCTTGAAACACATATCGTTCAGACATTTCTTCTCAAATTCAGGTCATATATTCACCGAGAGTGCCTTTTCAAAAAAGTTTCAATCCTGCCGAGAGCGTCAGTTTCTCACCTCACCACGCCACATAGTTTAGCCAGAGCCAGGGATGCGTTTAGTTCTGTAAGAACTGATTTCCTCTGCCAGTATCGATCGACAATGTCGAAGCATCCGCCTCTCAACCTAACCACCAACTTACTGCTTCTCATACATAAGGAAGAAAATGTGGGATGAGCTTTAAGCCTCAATGTCGAAGCCACACAAAGTCACAATGTCAATTCCAAGCACTCCATTCACCTACCCATCAATTCACTTCTTCATATACATTAAGAAGGAAGTATAGAATAGAGCTAGGTTTTCCATGTCACTACCTTTATCGTAATCATAAATTTCTCGGACGGACAGACATACAAACTGTTTTATAAATAAGAAGGATTTACCATGGCTATGATCACTAATTATTACTATGATTATTACTTATATCATCCTTGCTATATACGACGTGCTCGCATTTGCCTCTCTGTCCGTCTGCCTGTCACAAAATCTGCCCGGAAGAAGCAAGCGGAAAAGTCAGATCAAGTACGAAATGGGCTGAGAATAGGGCAAGTGCGACGGTGCACATGTGGGCCCAGCAGAGCTCCCCCTCACAGAAGTCAAAGGCCTTCTTGAAACTATGGACGTAAAAAAACGGCGTTTCATCGCAATATCTTACTGGCCAGTGAGTTCTGTGACGATGTAGATCGTACTAAATCATTGCTCAATTCATCTTGCGTCCTGACAGCGACAGCCTGTTTCGCGTGAGAAGCTATGGATTACAGTCAACAGCACACAGATTGGGCTGCAGTTGCCAATGCCGCTCGAGTCTCCTTTTCTACACTGCAGCATACATTCCATTTTGGGAGGTACCACTTGAAGAGCCGAACCTAAACCTTGACGACTGCGGTAGCGCCCGCGCCGCCGTATCAGCTCGAAGATCTTCGAAGAGAGGCGTTTTTTAGCAATGCATTAGGTAAAAACTCTGTTTTTCTGGGATTATTGAAAAGAAGTAGTGTAGTCTCAAGTGAATGCTAACGCACAAGTATGTATCAGGGTTCCAATATATCATATATACCAGTCGAGGCCAATAAAGGCTCACATCCCTCCGGGGCCGGGTACTTTTTACCAAATTTCTCTGCGAGCTTCACAGTTTAACTCGATATTTCTTTATTCAATTAAAACACCTAAGGGTGTGCCATACATTTCAAAAGCAGAAACTGAAAGGCGATGACCCTCAAAAACAAAAAAGAGTGAACATTAGCTCAAGAAAAATTGAGGATAAAGCCAGAGTTGGCAGTGATACACGCCATACTGGAGGAAAGGGGGAAACGAGGAGAGAAAGAGAGACGGAAGCAGGAAGCTTGTATAAAAGAGCATTTGTGGAATAATGCAGGGCCCTTTCTTACATGAACAGGAAAGCTGTTTTCCCTGTGTAAAAGGCTTCTTTATGTCGTACTAGTCAAATATGCCATGAGAGGCTACAGTAAATAGGACATGCTGACAGCAAAGCTCGATTCGAAGCAAATTCGATTCGAAACTACAGGCGAGTAGACGAAGGGAGAAGGAGTAATCATCACACAAGATCCTCAAACAGCCAGCACACATAAAGAACAAGGCCTCAACATCATCAAAAGCATACAGCACCTAGCGAGCTTCTCGCCACAGAGAAAGTGAAAGAAAAG